GATATTGTAAAATTTGTGATAAAGCACACCCTGAAAAGATGTTTCATTACAAGAAGATAGAAAGTGATTTGATTTTTGATGGTGTGAGTTTTCCTGCTAATAATAATGATATAGATATATTTGAAGAAAATAATAAATCAATATCCATTAATGTTTATGAAATTGATGATAATGAACAAATTGTTATTAGTAGAAAATTGAAAAATAAAGATGCTTCTTTTCATTTTGATTTGTTTAAGAGTTGATGAGGAGGATTGCAGTCATTATGTGTATATAAAAAGTTTGAGCAGACTTATTAATAATCAAAAAAGTAATCATAATGGTAAGTCCTATTTTTGTAAATATTGTAATCATGGATTTAGAAATGAAGAATTATTAAATAAACATTATGATAGTGGATGCATGGAAGTTGAGTCAACAAATAGTAATGCCTAAGCCTTATGAGAAAGTTAGTTTTAAGCATCACTTCAAAAAGTTAAGGTGTCCTTTTGTTGTATATGCTGATTTTGAATGTTTGACAGAGGAACTGAAAAAACCTGATGAAGATGAAGATAAAAACACTTTTTCTTATCAAGAGCATAAACCATGTGGTTTTATGCTTAATATGGTTAATGCTGTTGATAATACAAATTATGAATTTATGTATCGTGGTAAAGATGCTGTTGATGTGTTTTGTCAAAAACTTAATGAGATTAGGGCAGAAGTAAAGGAGAAGATGGGAGAAAACGAAAAAATAGACATGACTGACGAAGACAAAGAAGATTTTAAAAATGCTAAAAACTGCTTTATTTGTGGAGATAAGTTTAGAATGAACTATAAGAATGCCAAGGAAGCAGAGAAATATAGAAAAGTTAGAGACCATTGTCATTTTACAGGTAAGTATAGAGGTTGTGCTCATAATGTTTGCAATCTTAATTTTTGTAATAGATATTTTAAAATTCCAGTATTCTTTCATAACATGAAAAATTATGATGGACATTTAATTATTCAAAATGCTGATAAATTAAGTAACAACAATAAAATAGGTGTCATCGCTCAGAACAGTGAAAAATTTATTAATATCAGTTTTGAAAGTTTGAGTGTTAAAGACACTTTTGGGTTTTTAACTGCTTCATTAGATAAGTTAGTTTCAATGAGTAAGTATGATAATACAGATGAAGAAGATAAAAGTAAATGGTTATTGCGTGAAAACTGGAAAGATAATTTTAGGTTCAGTAGTAAAAATGATTTGATTAAGAGTGAGAAATGTCTAGATTTATTAACTGATAAAGGCGTTTATCCTTATGACTACATGAATTCATTTGATAAATTTGATGATGAGCAATTACCGAGTAAGGATGATTTTTATAGTCAGTTGAGTGAAGAAGGTATAAGTGTTAACGGCTATGAAAGGGCAAAAATTATATGGAAGCATTTCGACATTAAGAATATGGGTGAATACCATGATTTATATTTGAAAACTGATGTATTATTATTGACTGACATTTTCGAAAATTTTAGAGATGTATGTATGAAATATTATGGATTGGACCCTGCTTATTATTATACAGTGCCTAACTTTGCTTTTGATGCTATGCTTAAAATGACGGGTGTAGAGATTGATTTAATATATGACCGAGAAATGTATGAAATGATAGAAGCGGGACTTAGAGGCGGGATGTGTATGGTTTCTACTAAAAAAGTTGAAGCAAATAATAAATACATGGGAGAAGAATATGATAAAAATAAAGAAAGTAGTTATATTAACTATTTTGATGCTAATAATTTGTACGGGTTAAGCATGATACAAAAACTGCCATATAAAAATCTAAAATGGGATGATACATTAAAAGAAGAAGACATTATTAATTATAAGAATAATAATATTGGATATATTCTAGAAGTGGATTTAGAATATCCTAAAGAATTACACGATTTACACAATGACTATCCAATGGCACCTGAGGTTATGAATGTTAAAGCCGACATGCTGTCAGATAAACAAATTGAAATTTATGAATTTTTAAATCATAAAAAACCTACGGATGAGAAAACAAATAAATTAATATTGAACTTAAATGATAAAGACAAATATGTAATCCATATAAGAACCTTGCAATTTTATTTGAAGCAAGGGTTAAAACTTAAGAAAATTCATAGAGCAATTAAATTTGAACAAAAAGAAGTTTTAAAACCTTACATTGAGTTTAACACTGAGAAGAGGAAGAATGCTAGAAATGATTTTGAGAAAGATGTTTACAAATTGATGAACAATGCCATATTTGGAAAAACAATGGAGGATAAAAGGAAACATTTAGATTTTGAGGTTGTGAGTGATGAAACTAGATATATGAAGTGTGTAAGTAATCCTAACTTCAAACATAGTCATATCATTAATGAAAATTTGGTTGGAGTTGAAAAGCAAAAAACAAAGTTGAAACTAGACAAACCTATATTTATTGGGATGAGTATTTTAGATTTGAGTAAGCAACACATGTATAAATTTTATTATGACGTTATGAAGCCTAAATATGGAGATAATATTAAAATGGTATATACTGATACTGATAGTTTTGTATTTCATACTAAAACCAATGACATTTATGAAGACCTTGAATACAATTAAAAAAGAATTAGATTTTTCAGATTATCCTAAGGAACATAAATGTTATGATGATAATAACAAGAAAGTATTAGGTAAATTTAAGGATGAATTAAAAAGTAAAATAATAACAGGGTTTATAGCCCTTCGTCCTAAATGCTATGCTTACTCAGTTTATGGTGATGATAAAAAATATAAGAAATGTAAGGGCATAGCAAAAGGCACAGTAAGACGTCAAATGAAATATGAAGAGTTTGAGACGGTTTTAAAAACTAATGAGGTTATACATAAGTCATTTAATAGTATTAGAAGTAAAAACCACAGAATTTTTAGTATAACAACTAAAAAAATTGCTCTTAGTAGTTATGAAAACAAAAAATATTGGATAGATAGTATAAACTCACTTGCTTACGGCCATTATAAAATAAATTCTTTGAAAACGACTTAAAGAAATATTGACTTAATATATTAAGATAGAAATGAGTGATACAGAAAGTGAATATGGTGAATATAGTGATATAGAAAGTGTGTATAGTGAATTTAGTGATACTGTCCATGAAGATATTGATGTTAAAAATATATTGAAACAAAAGTTTATGAATTACAAATGTAAAGACTGTGAGATGCTAAAGTTAACAATTCAACAGGGTTTTATAGATGGTGTTAGTAATAATATTTGTCAATGTATGATATGTGATAATTGTAATAGAATTATAAACAAAATTGATGATATGAACAACAGAGATTTTGATACTAGAAATGCTGAAACTCTTGATGATGATTTAGAAATATTTGTTTTTATTGAAATGAATAAGTTCTTGACTGAAATAGAATTTGATAATTTATTATATAAGGGCGATGATGAAGGAAGTACTAATGATTTTATTGTGAAGTACTACAGCTTGGTAAAAAGATTATACAATATGTCTTTTAGCATTAAACGTTTAAACTACGAAGCATTAAACGATAATGACTTTGATTTCTTAAGTTGTGAGTATGATGTAGATGAACTTAGTTATACAGTAATACATGCAATTGAAGTAATGGGCTGGTTTAAAAAAGAAATAGGAAATAATATTTATAATGAAAAAACAGTTGATAAAATAGTGAAACGAATTAAAGAAAAAATTATAATGAATTAGAATAAAGTTGAACTCATACTATGATTATCACATGTAAAATATTATATGTTATAATTGTAATATATTTATCGTTTGTAAAGATTGAATTATTATATTTTCCTAATTTGCTTATCTCTTTCAAAGTGCGTTGTTTAGACTTGGTATGCTTCTTCAATTTTTTCGTGCTTTGGCTGTTTGTTTTTGTTTTGTTTGATACTCTTATGATATTTTTTGTTGGTATGTTGCTTTGTTTTTTGTTGATGTGTGTTTTTGAGTTTGGGTTCTTTGATGATTTAGAGTGTTGCTGTTTTGTTGGTATGCTTGTTTGAATTATTTAATGTTGTATGCTGTGATTAAATATTTTTGTTGCTGGTTGTGATTATTTATTTTGTTTGCTTGTTGTTCTGGATTTTGTTTTCTGTTTGTTGTGTTGCTGTTGGAAAAAATAGTAGAAAGAATAATTCTTTGAATTCTCCTTTTACTATTTTTTTGGGGGTGGTGGGGGGGCTTCGTTGGTCCAGAAGAGCAGGGCCCGTTTGTGGAGCTTTGGGTTTGAAGTATTTTTTTTTTTCCGTTGGGCTCCTTCGGTTTGGCTTTCAAGGGCTAAGAGGACCTCTAAGCCGCGGCTGACGCAAGTTGCTCAAGTGGTCCACTTTTGGGGGAATTGGTGCGATCCTTGCTGTGGCAGCTGTGGCGGCGGCTTTCAGGTGAGGTTGAAACCGAGATGAAAACTACAGCCGTGAACGGGGGATTTTCTGAGTCTGCATGCGTGTGTGACAAGCCACGGAAGCCAAGGCACCGCCTTCACTATCAAGACTGCTTTGGTGCAAGGTGTGTGTGTGTGTGTGGGTCCTAGGCACCCCTTGGTTGTTTCAACCACATGAACGCTGTTTGCATCTGTGATTCGCAGCTTTCCTGCCGAAAGCGCGCGCCGCTATTTTGCGGGCCAAATCCCACACGCCCCGTTTCAGCTTGTTAACACAAACAAATCTTTCCTGGCTTCGGTACGTGAGCAATCGCAAAGTTGACCGGTTTGAAATTCTTGGGATACCCTTCCATACTATCTCTGCGCCCTCTCGAGTTTCTGGTTGATTCCGCAACGTGAGGATTTGTTGCTTCAGCCGCCAGGCCATCCAACCCGCCATCTTTCGTAGCCTTGGGGAGTTGAATGTCTCGACTTTGAGACATGGCTGGGCTCAGAAAACCGGTACCAAAATGGAACCCTGGCAAGTGGAAAAACATGGATCAAAACCTGCGTAACCCCTCCCGTTGAATTTTTGGCTCTGCTTGTAGCTTAGGATCCGCCAAAGAGATGCCGAGCTGGCGCTTCTGCGCGTGGCCGCAGCCACGGTGCCGGAAGAGAACCGGGAGGAGGCGCGGCCGCACGGCCGTCCTGGGGGGGCGAGCTGCAGAGTCCTCCATCAAAGGAGGGCTGTGGTTGGGGTTGTGCACGTCATACCTTTTTACATGTCTAAGAACGGAAGGCCTGAATGGGTTCCGAGCACATTTTCAAGAGAATGCTTTCGGCCATTGTACTCTGTTTGGATGAGCTTTTGGCTGGAAGTACGACAGCTTCTTGCCTGCCACTGCCACTGCTACCACCACTGGCCACACTGCTGCAACTACAGGTTTGTCGACGACGACGACCACTACAGCTGCTACTGCTGCTACTGCTGCTGCTGCTGCTTCTGCTGCTGCTGCTGCTGCTGCTACAACTACAACTACAACCACGACTACGATTGTGACTACAACTACAACTGCAACTGCAACTACAACTAAAACTACAAATAAGCCGACTGGCTGCTGTCGCGACTCCTCTGCTCCTGCTGCCTGCTGCGACCACGGAAGAGTTGTGAAGGTGGAGAGTTTCGGACGTATCAGCTCAAAAAGCACTGGACATGTGCTGCCATAGTGTAGAGCACCGCTTTGCAGACAACTTTCATGTGTGAGCCCGACTCAGCACAAGCAATGTTCATGAAACCTCAAAACAGTCATGTGTAGCTGCGTACTTTCTTGTGCCCCAGACGATATGTGTTGCATCGCTCTAAAAGGCGATTGCCCAGCGCTTGCCCAGGGGTTTAGTTTGAAAGACAGCTGTGTGTATCGCGGGCTTCCTGGGACTTTCCGTCCAAAGTCCCTCCATTGGCACGCCCTGAAACAAGCAATCCAAGAGTATTCACGCGTGTGCGGCACCAGCCACTTGGGAGTTGGGATGTCTAGAGTCTAGACACCAATCCTGATCCTGGGGTTGGGTTGGGGGTGGGTGGGGTGGGGGGTTGGGGGGGGTGGGGCTGGGTGGGGGTGGGTGGGGGTGGGTGGGGGTGGGTGGGGGTGGGTGGGGGTGGGTGGGGGTGGGTGGGGGTGGGTGGGGCAAGAGATTTGCTTCCAAGCCACACATTCTCTGAGGCGCAAGAACCTGAGCGAGAGGTGGTGACCCTCAATGAAGGGGACGTGGACTTCGACAGGCGCGGAAGGAAAAACCCATCGATCCGGATCGAGGGTCCATGTCCCGTTTTTTTGGGGTTGGTTGGACAACTCCTAGGTTGGGGTCCCCCACATATGGTAACCAAAGGAACAAGCCCTTCAGAACCAAAAGGAAAATAGTTGGAGTCCGCCTTGTTTGTTTAAAGGAAGGAGGGACTTCAGACAGCTTGTACCAACCGCTTCGCTTTCCAATCCAAAAAGCAGCCGTTTTGTTTGAACCCAGTCAAGTGCATGAAAAGGGAAATCCAGTGACCGTCCCGTCTGGGTTCGCCTGCCTAATTGGGAACCGCAAATTCGGTGTGCAGTTTCTCTTGCCAGGAGCAGCGCCGCCAAAGTTGTGGCGACTGCTGGCGCATTGAACCCGGGGGACGAGGTGGTGTCGGTGAACGGGCTGTGGCTTGGATGCAGCTCAGAAATTCTGGCCGTAGCTTCCCTGTTCTTCCCAAGATCCGGATCTTGTATCACCCGGAGACAACCGAAACCGCCACGACCAAGATACCAATACATACTGACATGCAGGCAAATGCTCAGTGATCCATGGTGCTCTTGCGGTTCTGAACGTTTCAAGGTCAACACATTTCAGCCGCCACAGAGCAACTCTTTCCCGTTTGTCTCCCGCGGAAATTGGTGCCGTTGAGTACCTGAAACGCTGGCGGTCCGGACCCTCCGTTGGTCGCTTGGGGTCTTCGGAGCATCCGAGCTCCGAATGAAGCCGGCGGCACTCGGAGCCCGAGGTCTGCCAAGAACATGTCTTGGGAGGAGCGCAGAAATCGATCGGCCGATTGCCGATTTCTGGGCCCAAAAGCCCAAATACCTGGCAACTCCACCTCCAGGTGCTCATCATTTTTTCTTCGGCATGTATGACTCAGCATGGAAGACCTGCCCATGGAAATTACAGGTTCTCCTTCCGGCTTTCCGTTTCGATCACCCGCCAAAGCGGGCAACTCCAAGCCTCCAAGCCACAGATACGACGCCGTGTGCAGGAGCTGGATGCGGCGCTGGCGCCGCGGCCGGTGGTTCTCACGGTGCAAAGGCAGCGCAGAGGCCGAAGGATCCCGCGCTGTTTGCTTCTTGAGGGCCAGGGTCACTGGGCAACTGTGTCCCGGGTCGCGAAGCTTCAAACTGAATGAGCGCACAAAGATGTCATTGTTCCTGTTTTGAGAATCAAGTTGCAGGACTCACCCCACGCATATATCAGAGGGATCCCTTGTCGGGATGGAAAGGGAAGCCACAAGAGAAATCCACACATCATTGGACCCATCTTTGGGCGTGGGCCCTGAGTTTGACGCATGCCAAAGGAAAACTTCAACCCCTAAAAAACGGGGTCTGATTTTCCGTTTTGGAGAAGCCCTCAGTTCTCAACCACGGCCCGCGTATGGAACCTCAGGCGGCCTCGCCGGGCGCGTGCGGTCCTTGTCCGTGTGGACCCGGCAAGCTGCCAAGGCCGAGAGCCGAAAGGTGCAACTCGCAGGTCTGGGCGGTTCCCGGGCATCCGCTTCCAAAAGGCCCTGTCTTGTTTTTCCTCATTTTTTTAGTTTTTTTTTTTGGCTGGTTCAGTGGCTGGTGTTCCGAATTTGGCCCACGCCGAGTTTTTATGTTTTTTTGGTGGGGGATCTGAGGACAGCCCGGAAGTGGTACCGATGGACGAAATGCATGTCACACCAGCTGGGATGGGTGGTGTACGCCAATCGGGTTTCATCCAGCCCGCCCGGTGCACGCGGATCGTTGCGCGTCTTGGGCCAAGAGTGTCAGATTGGCACATGGGAAGTCTGTGCGAAGCCGGGATCTCTGGTTCCGCTGCATGCCATGCGGTGTGGGGCAGAGTGATTATGTTTCCTGACAAAAGGGGAGTGTCAAGCACGAGCGGAAACCGACCTATGCAGCCCTGCTGCCTGTTTCGGTGTTTCTGTGGTCAGGAGTGCTTTTCGGGATGGTTTGGGTGTTTTGGGGGTCCATGGTTGGCATTTCCAAATAGGCCGAAGGTCCAAAGCCATCTGTTTCCTTGACCCCAGCACCGAAAGGCTTCGAAACATATGCCAGGCTGCAGCGCGAGAGCTGGAGCTGGCCATGGCTGAGCTTCCGGTGGACGGGGCACCGTGAAGTGGTGGCATGTTCTGTTCGCTGGTGTTTTGCGTCAAGGGCCAATTTCGGGGGGTGTCTCTTTCTGAGGGTACACCTTTGGGTCTGAGGGAAGCCAAAGCAATCAATTCCCCCCATCCCGTTCTCTTTTTTTTTTTGGCGTTTGATTCCTCAACAGGCACACCAATATCACGGAAGGGTTTGGCCAGGATGAGAACATGGCCTACGCGCAGTCTAAAGAAGCAGCTTGGCAGACGAACTTGGGTTCCGAGCCGCCGGTTTCAGGGCCTGAGGGCCGGGTGCTTGCAAGGCTTCCGGGTGTTGCACGGATGGAAGCCAAACAGCGGATGTACAGTTGAAAAGGAATATTGGCATGTACAGTTGCAAAGGATCATTCGCACCACCCTTGATGTTTGTTTCTCGTTTCTTTCTGGTCCTGTCGAGTTGCTTCCTTCCGAGTCGATTGCAGCGTGCGCAGCCTGCATGACCCCCTAAACAGTCTTTCAAGAAACATTCTGGTCAAAGTCCGTAGGTTGAGGCAGAACCACATCAGCAAATCATCAGGGTCTTGACACAGGATTCCGTCGAAGCAAAACCAAAGCATGGCCAACGCAGTTTGTTTCATGCGATACAAACGTGAACATGCACGAATATTGACGCGCCCCTTCTGGCTGTTCCGGAAGCTCAGAGGCTGGCACCCTTCCTTTTGCCGCTTGCAAGTTCAAAAGCTGGCTACTGCAACATAGCCGCTAAGTCCGCAGGCAACATTCATAACAGCAACGTCTTGAAGCAAGAGCAAGAGCAGCCCTATTGACATATTGTTTCTTTGCCACACGACTGTTTGAACTGATTGACTTGACGGTGACCATTGCAGAGGTTTGAGCTGCTTCCGTTCACTTGGAGCGATGCCAAATCGTTCATTGTTTTAACAGGCGAAGAGGAAGGTGATGTGTGCAGACACAGAGAAGCACTTGCTGCTGTTCGAGATCCTAACGCGAAGCCGTATACCGACATGGAATTGTTGACTTTGTCCCGGCATTGGTCAAGACATTGGGGCTTCGAGCGGCAAATGGCTGAAATCAACACCATGATGCAGAGGCACAGTGATTGGCAGAAGGGTTTGTCAACAGGTGAAGGGAGTCCGCTGGGACTCTGTGCCACAAGCTGTCAAGAGCAACAAAGAATTCATACTAACGGCCTTGATTGTGCATCCGTCAGCTCTGAAGCACGCATCTGAGGAGCTCAGAAATGACAGCCGGTTTGTTCTGGCTGCTGTTTACCACAACGACTGCTCGTTTTTGCATGCGTCCGAGCTTGTCAGGGCCAATGCACATGTTGCAGGCATAGCTGCCCACCTCAGTCCTCACAACAAGCAGCACGCCTGCCCGGTCTCAGGATATCTTGAGGGAGCCAACGCCAAGACGAGAGACATTATGAAGCAGCCAGGCGAAGATAGCAGCTGTGACGAGAAGCGCTGCTCTAGCGCAGATCTTGTGTCCAATCTGCACGACGTATTGTGCCCCAGAGACATGACCAAGCAGACACTTTCTGTGTGTCGTTTACCTCCCAGCTCGATTCGTTTCACACATGACTCTATCAGTGCGCGGTTCTCTTGTGGCCGCGTGGTTGAAGATACGTTTACGGAGCTCTTGCGGGGCGTCATAGACATTTGTGCAATACCTCGCCTGACTGTTGTTTGGCATTTGGATGATTGGTTTACGTACACGGGTAACAGGCGTTTGCATGTGTTCAGACGACTGGAAGAGCAAGGCAAGCTGCATGAAGTAGAGGTGGCCATGACACGCAGACGACTCGAGCCAAAGAAGTTTACCACTAAGAACATGGGTCAATCTGTGCGTGTCCGAGCTTTGAAGCCAGTCTCGTGACCTGCGGTCAGCGCGGATGGTATCCACTCCGTTCGTCATGAAGCGAAGAGACAAGCAGACCTGCGACGCGGCCTAGGAAAACAGCTTTGCTGCCCAGAGTCGCAGATCTCTTTTCGTTGCTTCCCCGTGGTTTGTAACCCCACGTCTGAGCGGCGTGTTGAACTTGCAGGCCGGCGCTTTCGTGGGCCCTCTGCGGTGTGCTCCTTGAAACACGCCGCTCACCTGCTGCCCAAAAATCCCCATGTTCATGATGTCCACCAAAGTCCCTCCTAGTACAAATCGTTGCGAGAATCTGAGAAGGGTGTCTCATAGCATAGACCCCACAGCGCGCTTCAGGTTCCATCTACGATTTTCGCAAAATTTGGCAGTAGTCTATGTTGGACATGGGGGAACTCGAGTTGGATATCAACCACAAGTGACCGAGTTGGACGAAGCCAACTTTTCCCCATGTGCTTTTGGAAAGGACCCGCGACATTTAGATCCATGGCCTCGGAGCGAACTTTTGCTCCGAATCCCATTTCGCATTTCGCGGGCTTTTCCTGGTGGTTCCCTGAAACACCGCCAACAAAAAGCGGGTTTTGTCGACTCGACCAAAAGGCGAAACAAAGCATAAACCAAAGTGCCCAAACTTCGGTGAACTCCACGCATGTCGAGCCTCAGGCATTTGGGTGAAACTGAAAGCCCTTTTTGGTAGAGACACTCCCATAAGTTGAAACCCGAATTAGGAGGCCAACGGCGCGGACGAGGCGGATGATGCCGACGCAGAGGCGGGATGCGAGGGCTTGGGGGCAAACGGGTGGTTGGCGGGGGGGGGGGGAGGCAGCAAGAGGTCCAAGGGACGTAAAGAAGAATTGTTTGTTCGCTTGCTTGGTTGCTTGGTTGTTTGTTTGTTTGTTTGTTTGTTTGCTTGTTTGTTTGTTTGTTTGTTTGTTCGTTCGTTCGTTCGTTCGTTTGTTCGTTTGTTTTGTTTACTTGCTTGCTTACTTGTTTATTTCTTGTTTGCTTGCTTTTTGGTTGTGTATTTGTTTGTTTGTTTGTTTGTTTGTTTGTTTGTTTGTTTGTTTGTTTGTTTGTTTGTTTGTTTGTTTGTTCGTTCGTTCGTTCGTTCGTTCGTTTGGCTGTTTGTTCGTTCATTTGTTCGTTTGTTTGTTTGTCCGTTTGTTTGTCTGTTTGTGTGTTTGTTTGCTTGTTATTTTGTGTGGTTTGTTGTTTTTTTTGTTTGTTGCTTGGTTGGTTTGTTTGTTTTCGTTTTCAGGTCCCACATACTGGTGTTGCTGCCTAGGCGGAGGGGCAGCAGAGGAAAACTGACTTGGGACAGACGGCGCGAGGCTTGGAGGTGTCCTGCAATCAAGACCCCCTGAAGGCCGTGGCATCCGGTGAGAAGTGTCTTCAATTCATTTTGAAGCCTCTTCTGACTGGATGCGGATGCCATGGCCTCCACTCTTCAATCTCATACGTTCCTCCAGCAGTTGGCTTCTAAGTTGGGAGCCCCTCCACAATTTCCGACTTCCGGGGTACGAAAAGAGCAGCTTCCTGCCAACGAACACTGGAGTGCGGTTGTTTTGTCCCTTAAGAATCGGACTCCCTTTTGAACAGGGGGCGATTGTGCGTCAAGCCTCAAAGGGGCAGGGACTTAGGAAGTGGTTGGCAAGGGTTATAGCCAGCTGGGAGGGCTTACCACCATGGCAATCGGGTCTTTTGCTGTGGTCTGCCATGCTGGTTTCTAACCATGCACAAGTAGCCTGCCACTTTAAGCATACCCTCCTGTCCACCAACATGAAGCCCCACAGAGGGCGAAGGTATTTAGTCTCTCCTTTTGCCAGGGTTTGCCTTTTGAGCTCCACTTTTCAACAGAAAGTAAATCGCAGCCCCCCATGAAACTGGCTTTTCTCCAACCCCTGAAAGCTATGGAGTGTCTGGGCGATAGGCTTTAAACTTTCGGGCAGGAGGCTTCAGGAGATTCGGTTCCAGGGGTTCCGGGTCTGTTGGGGATACCATCTGGCCTTATTTTTTGTTGCCCTGCTACAGGGAACCGAAAAGGAACCCCTAAAGGCAGACATACTTAGAGTACCTATTCGGGAAACCACCTGGGCGTTTCTCTCACTAAGGGGGGGACTCCCACCATCGGTCCTTCCCCCCGGCGCCCCCAACCAGGCTCAAGAGCCCCCACCCCCCCGCCCCCGAAGCTCCCCCCCCAAAGCTCGTTGAATTTCCATCGTTCCCGGCCCCAACCAGGCGCCTCAAGGCTCCCTGTCGAATTTTCGGCTCGGAGGCGCGGAACCGGCCCTTCTACGAGCTGGTGAGGAGCTCCATGGCCGCCGCGAAGACGAGCGGCGGCGGCGGAAGCGGCTCCGACTCCGAGGCCTTCGAGCGGTGGCTGCGGCAGTTTCACAGCGAGCGGGAGCGATGGGGGGGGGGGTCCTGGGACTGATGGCGAGTGGGGAGGGGGGTGGGGGGGGGGGGGCATGTGGGTGGCTCTTTTTTTTGAGGGTGGGCCTTTTTCGATTTTTTGGTGGTTTCAACTGAAAAGCAACAAGGATATCCAGTTTTTTTTTTTGGGGAGATCCTAAAAAAGATGCGCGTAAAACAAGTCGTTTCAGGGGTGCCCTCGTTTCATTTAAAATCGGCGATTCGAGGGAGAACCTGCATCTTGTGTACTGAGGGTTTTGAACAGACCTCATCTAACCCCAGACCCAATCCTGGGTAGTTAAATATTGTTTGCGTAATGGCATGTTCAACTGGTCTTCGGTAACTCGATTTCGGACAATTTGGGACACCTTTTCCCTGTGACAGCACAAGGCAGTACTTTTGGGTGCTTTTCTGAAGTCCGGATTTGCTCACTGCGTGTGCGTGTGTGAAAACTTGGACTGCGGTCACACAGCCTTGTTCAGGTTCTACCGTGACGAGACATCCCTGACGCACTGGTGCGCGTAAGTGGTTGTAGATGCTTGTCGAAGAAGTGGCATTCGCAGGGTCTAGGCTTCGGCGGATCACGTCGCGGGGTCTTGCCTTTTGGATGTTTTTGAAGGGCACCTGCAGCATAGGCACCTGAAGCGTCTTGGTCTTCTGGGCCTGTTGTCAGGTCGCGCAATCTCAAGCCAGACATGCAGCCTCTGCTTCTTGGGAGGGGACATAGGGGGACCGTCGAAGCTTCACAGGACCACACTCTGATTCTTCAACTTTTCTCAGGGGAAACAAGTTGTGCTGACCATGCCACTCAACATGGGCAGGACGACGAGTGGTTTGCCAACAACCGGACGCGAGTGTACAATGACGCTTGGTCATGATCAGGGAGGGGGCAGCCGGGGGGTTGGTACAACTGTAAAATTTGGCGGGGTGGTCAACAGTTTGCTGCCCTTCTTTCAGGGCTACCTGAATTTTGAGAACCCCACCCCCCATTTGACAGCAGGCATTTCGACAGCCGATTTTTGTTTGCATCTGTTTTCCGAGTCCGCACTTTTTGTTTGCTCAATGCAGCCCGTTGATTGAACCAAGGCGTTTAGACCGCACTGGGATGAGGTGGTCGCCAAAGAGTGATGCATCCTGCGAAAAAAGGGGCGGCGGTTGCATGAGCAGTGGGCGGAATGGGCAGAGGACTCCGTGACGTTTGCGGGACTCCACTCAGAGCATGGGAGACGACCAGGAGAAATCGACTCTGAATGTGTAGCAAACCGTGTCGGCCTTTCAATTATGTCTGCCATGTTTAGTTCTCTTGAAAGCTTTCCAAGGACGCAAGAATTCAAATCGACGCCTGGCTAATGTCGGCCCTCTTGGTTTGGGTCATATAACATCGAGACCTAAAGACGTCGCTGGTTTCCTGTAGGCTTCTCTTCAAACGCCCCCTTGGGAGAAACTCCCCGTTCCCGCTGTGGACAGAACGAGCCACTTGGCCATGAATTGCAGAAGATCATGGGATGTCGGGCAAGCCAAGCTTTCATTTGGCCATGATTTTCAAGAGATGGAACCGCCTCAAAAGTGGTTGGTGAACTAAATTTCCCCGCCGAACTCTGATATGCAAAGGGCTTCCTTGTTGAGGGTCACACCCATTTGTTCCCCTTGTTATCCAAGCAGAGTCATGGCAGAAATAAAGAGGGCTTTTGTCTCGTCGGCTTTGTCTCGCGAGCTTTGTAACTTGCATAGAGGGCACAGAAGGCTCAGAAATCACGACATCGCAGCGTGCTACCGTGCATGGACGACGTTCGTTCGCATCGCTTTGAAAAAATGAGAAGCCATTCGTTGGTATTTGCAGGGGAATCATCAGGGTTTCGCCGGATTTGGAGTGGCAAAGGTAGTCACGGATCACTTGGTGAGGCGTGTCAAGGAACGAAGATTTCCACGTCCGCAATGTTACGACTTCCGCGGCTCAAGCAGATCCGAAAAAGGTCCGTCAGAGGCCATGATGGTGCCGGAAGAGAGGCCGGTGCGATTTGATGTTGGGAGGGGAGTGGCCGTTATGCGTGAAGTAAAATATGAGTCCCCTTAAAAGAAATGCACAGGGAAACAACCGTTTCCCGTGCATCAAGGCAAGAAGAATTTGCGGACGATTTGGACGTGCCCATCAAAGTGCGTTGAGACAGCGCGGTTTGTTTCAAGCACTAAATCACAAGCCTGCTTGGTCAAACATGCCTTTTGATACCTCCGGAAGTGCCCATTGAGTTGTGCGTTGCCGACTTGGTCAAGGGTTTCCATATCATATTTCATGGTCGACTTGCTGGGGAGCCTTTTTGGGTCGGCTTAAAGGGCACCCGTAAGTTTCATGAGAGCATGGGCCTAGGCGGAACGCCGATGCAGAGCGGGGCGAGATGCCGGTGGTGCAGGGGATACCCATAGGCCGGCCGGCTGGGCGCTTTGGTTGGGCGGGCCGAAATTGAGCAACCTCCGGCGCTCGACATCCGTAGTCAAGGCCAGAAATTGGCAGAACCAGAGGGAATGTTGGGGCCTCGTCATGAATTTTTGAGAGAACAGGAGATTTCCACCCCCCCCCCCCCCCAAAAAAAAAAAAAAGGTCGGTTTTTCAGGTTCCGAGGTTCCATGACAGGCTGCAGGGGAGTCTTGCACCACACTGATTGGGAGCATTCCGCCTATATATATATTATAATGTATAATATGTATATAGATATATATTATAATATATACATACATATATACACATTATATTATGAATTATATATGTACATATATATGTATATGTATATATTGGGTAATTTGAGGGTCCAGGGCCCCAGTGTTGCCTCGGAGCCTCGACGCGGCCGACACGTGCAGGGGCGCCGCAGGGCGGCATGGCTATGGTAGCATTCACCACCTTGTCGCCCGAGGAGAGGAGTTTTTCGGTGACGAGTTGGCGTTTTTTTTTTTTTTTTTTTTTTTTTTTTTTTTTTTTTTTTTTTTTTTTCGTTCTTCTCTTTTTTGTTTTTGTCTCCAGCTGTTTTGTTGGTTTTCTGGGCTGGTTGTTGCTCTATTTCAGCTGGTGTGGATTTGGATTTGAACCCCTGGTTCTTGTAGAGGGTACATGGGAAGTTATCCCCTCACCTCCAAACCATTAAACCAAAGCACCGACTAGGGGGAAGCTGATTATTCCGCCACATAGCTGCCACATGTCGGAACTCCCGGTAATCGCGCCCCCTACCGGGAAACAAAAAAGGCTATGCGTTTCGATTGGAGCACCCTTGAAAATTGGCGGACATAAGCCATGTACATGATGACCAAAGGGTCCAACCAATCAAATTTCACAGATCAGCACTACGGGGTTCTAATGGGATATCGAACAGAGGGGCCATGTTTTTCAGTCTTTTACACCTTCTTCTTTCGTTTTTTTCTTCCGTGAATTCTTGAAAACAAGCAAACAAACATTTTGAGTTAAATCTCGACCCATACGGAACCTCCGAAGTGGGTCCTGTCAAGCGCACAGTTTGCCCTGTGTTTTCGGCAGCGGTTTTTTCCCACTCGAGTACAGTGGAATCCTTCGTTTTGCGACCCCAGAAAACTTGCTTCCATTTGCTTAAGCACGTTTTTTTTGTTCCCTTGTTAGTTTTAAAAGGAATTTATCAAACACATTTTTCTTTTTCCGGAGGTCTTAAGCTTGACCCTGGAACGCTTTGCTCCGGCAAGTCTGACTCAATGGGTCTAACAACTGGCTCGGTTTCAAGTTTGCACTTGCATCCCAGGGAGCCGACCGCCCAAAACCAGAGCTAGGTTCGCCTGCGAAGGTCATCATTCACATCCGAACCTTGCGGATGCTTTGCTATGTCCAAAAGGCATTTTATGAGTAGAGGCAGCATACGAACCTGGTCAGCTCATGGATTGCTGTCACGAGAATCCAGCCCCGTGACCTTTGTTCCGCCGTGCTGCTCACCTGCCCTGGCCGCAAGTAACAAAGGCTCAAGACTGCAAATGTGCAAAAGACCCGCGAGCTTGCCAATACATGAACTTGGGATGAGTGTGAGCCGGTTTACCCATGGCATATCATAGCATGGCACGCGCTTGTTGGGATGGATGCACATAGAAGCAGTACCAACTCCTTGAAACTACGCGAGTGCGTGAAACTAGCGTGTTCATCAGCCAAAAAGTGACAAAGTGTTTCTAGAAGACAGGCACGTGTGAGGGCAACTTGTGGGCTCGTAAACATTTATTTCGGGAATGGACATTGTTTCCGTGGGTTTATGTCACTCATGAATAAGGGGTTCCAACTCAGGACGCCTCATAGCCACAGCAGGTCCTTGGCGAATTTTGGTTTTGAGGGGTTCCCCGCAAGACCCAGAGGCTTCGAGGGCACCCGTTACCCGAAGAGATGAGTCTCGACCCCCTCTTGGGAGACATCCGTTTGCATCTCGCCGAGATGCTTTGGGATCGCGTTGGCGAGGATGTCTCGCTTTGGGAGGCATCTGGCTGTGGGTAACAATGTCAGTACCGCAAATGGGCTCCGGTTCTTTAGCCTTGACCCATGCCCATTTGGCCATGGGGCACAACCTATGGCTCCATTTTGGGGTGGATGAACATCCATCTGCCGCCCATGTTGAGGTTCACCAGTGGTTTCCTGCGTTTTGACAACCACAGCCATTTGGACTTCCCCAGAATTAGTTCCCCTTTTTCTAATTTGTTGGCTTTTCTTGGGTCCCCTTTGCTTTCCACTAACCAGGCAAAACACAAATATATATATATATATATATATCTATTTTTTTTTCCTGGGGTCCTAATTTGAGCCAATTTTGAGGAGCAGGTGGTGCTGAACTATCGCCTGGCGGTGATGTGCTTCGCCTTCCTGGACTTCCTCACCACTTTGCTGAACGTCCTGACTGCCGTGATGGGCACAGGGTGCCGATGGGTCGATGGTCGGGCCGAGGGAGATGGATGGGATGGGGCGAGTGACGAGGGGTGAGGGGTGAGGAGGGCTTTGGGGGCTGGAATTCGGGCTGCGCGTTTGTGGGTTTGGTTGGCCTGCTTACAGTCGGCTGGTTGCTTGCTTGCTCGCTCTTGTAGATATAATGTGTGCATATGTTGAGAGTCTAATATTTTGCCATTGCCCGGCCAAGCTTGCTAGAGAGCTCCGCCTGGATAATCCCGGCGGACTATGGAGGTTCCTCCCAAAAAGGCAGAATCGACTCTCCGGTGGGTTGCATTTTCCCCCCGAAGCAAACGCGCGCTGCGGTTTTTATCGGACCCTTCGCCAGGGCTTGGCGAAAGTGGCGATTGATGGGATGTGCTTCACCCCAGCCGCTTTGAGTGGACCCTTCCCATAGGTAAGGGTCACTGGTTGGCTATATGGTACCAACCAAGGGTCATCTCGTCGCTTGAAACATCTTGAAACACCATGGTCAGAATACCAGCCCGGATTTCTCCACGATATGAGCTTCTTGCCTTGATTGTTTGCCGGCACAGGGACAAGCACAACCATCCCATTGGACCTGGAAGGGCTGGGTGGTCGGCAACCTCTCCTTTCAACCTCTAGACCTTACGCGTAACTTGATTCTATCGGATAGACCAGGATTCCAATTTTTGCACGGAGCGATCACGAAGCCCGGTAAACGAAGGTTCGTAGTTGCAACCGTGTTTTTTGCCGCCGCCCTTGCCACCCACCAACATGGAACCGGGCGTTCCATCATTACAAGGGCCCTTGTAATTTCCATGCCACTTGTTTCATTTGTTTCGGGTACCCCCCAAAATGGGTTTGCTTTGTTTGGTGGGAAACCCTTTGAGGAACCTTCCGTTGGGTTTGACCCAAAGCTTCCAGAGCGAGGTACTACTGGTGGGAGCTGCTTCTGCTCATCTTCCTCCTGGGGCCTCTGAGCGGCTTGCTGGGTGCCAAGCACTTGCACCAGAGCCTCACCGCAGCGACTTAGATAAAAAAGCCTTCCTCCGGGAAAGACTTCCGCGCGCGTTTCTCGTTGCCGGGGAGCGCGTTTAACGTCTTGTGAACATAGTTGTCACACATCCACTGGAGGAGGCTCTAAGTGCAGAGTCTCTGGGAGAGACTGATGCCTTTCAGCATCAAGGTCCTCCCGGCCGGCTCAAAACGAACACGAGAGCAAGGCCCCAACCAATTCGCCCAGCGGCTTTGTTTTCATCGTTAAACCGCGGGGCTGCCCAACCCGAGGTTTACGTGGGCTTTTGCGTCCTCAAGACGATTGCTCAGATCGTGTTTGCTGTCTACTTCTTCTGGCTGTGGCACATCCTCTTCGCGTTTCTGCAGGCCGGGGTGTGTCTTGGTGGGGCTCAGTTCAAATGGGTTAGGTTGCCCAGAGTGGAACTGAGAATCGGGTGCTTTTCAGTCCGGCCGCTTCTTTTGCACAGCTCAATGTTCAATCACGGCTTTGGAATCCCTGCGAAGCCGTCGATGGATCAAATACGAGCCATGAGTCGATTCGATTGTCGGACGGGTCACTCGACTCCAATCTGGCAGGGGGTCAAAAGTAGGTTAACCCCAAAATGGACTGCAATTCCCGGTAACTGGAACCAAGGGCGATTTCACCAGCGGTCCAATTCCTGGCTTAAGCTTAACTCCAAGTCATACTGTGGATGGACAAAATCCTGCACCACCTAAAAAACATATGGAAATATGATTCCCCTGTAATTACGAACAAACAATGCTTTCCCATGATTACAAAGTGGTGCAGGATTTCGTCCGTCCATAGTATCATCCCAAAACGGACCGCGCAGATCTGGATCACAAAGATCGTGTTCACCTTCTGCCGCTGCTTGAGCCGCATCCCCTTGGAGCGGCGTGCGCAGCTGTTGGACCTGAAGGAGGTAGAGCTCCGGATGGTCTATTGGTGAGGCTGGGAGCGGAAAAGCGAAAGGCGGAGCCTTTGTAGACACGCCCCCCGCTTTTCGGGCTGTGGCTTCGGTCTTTTGATTTGGGGACGCCCGTAAAAAAAGTCAGCTGGGCTGGTTTCCTTAACATCAGATCGGCTGGTTTGGACGGGGATGCTTTCAGAGCATCCGTTCCTTTCAAGTCCGGGACCAGCCGCTCGCTTTGTTTTGCTTTCGAGGTCTCAGCCCCGCAAAGCAACGAGGTGTCACATGGCAGAGAGCAGTTTCATTTTTTCCTTCGAGCCCTGGAGGCCTGCAACATTGGCAAGGAAGCGTCCGGATTCACAGAGTTTCCAGGTGGCGCTGAGTGAAGAAAAGCGTGTTGAACGATTTGTCAGGGTTGCTGTTGTTCTCCTTGTGTTTTTGTGATCGGGTGCCATTTTCATTTTTCAGTTTGTTTTTCATTTTTTTTGTTTAACAATAATATTATTTTAAGAATACTTTAAAGAGCTTTGCACTTTATTCATGGAGCTTTGGGGACTGAATGCGAGTTGTTGCCAGGCAATTCTTGCCCATTGCTTTCATGCCGGCTCTGCAGTTTTTTTGGCTTTTCAGTTGGTTTAGTGGGGGTTTCCACTTAACCCACTGAAAGTTAAACTTGTAGCAGGGGATCTGAAGAACATTGCAACGGGGCAAGAGGAGCAGGAAGACCTAGAGCAAAGAAAGCACATAGCGAGCAAGCAGGGAAGAAGAAGAGCAATATGAACAAGCAGAGCGAGAAGAGCAAGAAGGGGAAGACAAACAAGAAGAACAGGAACACCAAGAAAGGAAGTCGACCAAGGAGAAAAGGAAGACCGAGAGAAACAAGAAGAACCTGAGCAAGATGAAGAAGAACACTAAGAGCACAACTGCAATCAAGAAGAGCACAAAGAGCAACACCTATTAGAGCGAGCAAGAAGATATCAAGAAGAGCGAGAGCTAGAACATCAAGCGAGCAAGAAGAGCACAGATTACGAGAACAGCCCGTAGGCACGAGAAGAAACACAATCACCAACAATACACTACCAGGAAGGTCAAAAAAAGACAACGCTTCATTTTTTGGCACGCAACAGAGACATATCTAGCAATAGCTTGCAATAGCTCAACGGACAAGAAGAACCAAGAAAACACGACAGCAATACCAGCAAGAACAAAGAAGAGCATCGAAGCCAGCAATCACACACAACCGGGACAGTCTTAGAAAGAAGCACCCAACCACACAAGATGAGTAAGAGCAACAAGAACAATAGCAAGCAGAACGCACAAGTGGGCATTTGGCCTATGGCTTGGTAAGAAATGTAGCACGACAATCAAGGCAGTCTCCCACTGGTTCCGGGCCAACTTCCCGAGATCGAGTTCTGTCAGGTCGGACCCGGCCAAAGGGGTGCACAGTTTTCCTTTTGGTTTTCCGTTAAACCAACAGAAACATTGGCCCCCGAGTCCCCCCCAGGAAAAAAGGAAAAACGAAAAAGGACACACCCCTTGGGGTCTTCTGAGATCGGGGGCCTATGTGCCTCCCTTTTGTCCCCTGGCCATTCGGCTGGGGTTTCGTTTCGGCGCCATTTGGATTCGACCGATTCGAGTCGTTAGCTCCCCGGCAGGGCAAATGTACAGCTTGCCCGCCCGGCGCGGCGCGCGAAGCTGCGATCTGGACCGGGCCCCAAATCCGGTTCCATCCCCCGAACCCGCGCGCACGAGGAGCGCGGGAGCGCGGGAGACCACGAGGTCGAGGAAGTTGTTTCGGTCCTTTCTGGGATACATGGGGGGGAAACTGGGTGTATATGGGGGGTAAATGTGGGGGACGTTTTGGTAAATTGGGGGGTAAATGGTTGGGGTAAACATGCGGGGGTATATTTTGGGGTTGTAAGTTTGGGAGAAATGCACTTGGTTCTGCGCTTTTGGTCTCAAGATTCATGAGCGGGAGGCAGCAACTCGGCTAGAGTCACTCATGAAAGCTTAGGCTCGATGTCCGACAGACATAGAGATAGGGTAAGCCTCAACATGCGCGTGCTCATTGGTTGTTGGGGCCATCACTGCCAGGCTGTTGACAGTGGCACTTGCAGAAAGAGCAGCATCCAAAGCAGCAGCATCCATAGCACCTGGCATGAAGAATCACGTTGTTTTGAGAGTTGTGTTTTATTCAAGGTTTGGTTGAGGCATGGCGTCTCCACATCGTTCGCACCGCGCGGGCTCGACAGGGCCGGGGGCGGAAGAATCCCGCCGTGCCCCCGGCTGTACAGCGGGCGGAATTCGGAGAGCCAGCCGGTGCTTTCCACATGCATGCCATCGCGTGGATCAATTGGCCAAACAGCTCGCCATCCTTGGGCTTCAGAATCCCCAGTTCCGAAAAAAGGGATGCGGATGGCTTTGGGCCATCACCCTTTAGGGCCAGTTTCAGTGATTTGAGGATGAGATATGGGTCTATCTTGTGGAGGGTACCCTTTTCGGCCGTTCCGTTGAAACAAGGACCACCAAAAGGACACCCACCGATTTGGGGTGCCCCGATTCCCACGGAGAAAAAACAAAAAGAAACCAAAAAAAACAAAAAAAACACCCGAGGCAGCGATTTGGCCCCTCTGGGAGGTTCGCTTGGCCTCGCTTTTGGCTCAAGCAGAGGGTCGGCGCGGGCAGCCTCCATGGAAGGAATCGCCTAGATCGCCGAAGATGCAGTGGGCGCCCTGGCGCAAGCTTGGCCAAGGCGTTTTTTTTTTTTTTTTTCAGGTGAGCCCCTGCTGGTTTGGATTGGTTGCTTTGGATTGGTGGGTGGGTTGGGTTGGGTTGGGTTGGGTTGGGGTGGGTTGGGTTGGGGTGGGTTGGTTGGTTGGTTGGTTGGTTGGTTGGTTGTTTGTTTGTTTGTTTGTTTGTTTGGTTTTGTTTTGTCCAGGTACCCCTTGTTGTTGCTTTGGTTTGGTTTGGATTTGAACCCATTTTTGTAGAGGGTAAATGGGCAACCCGTTGGCAAACCTAGTGGGAAGCTGATTGCCTGGGTCTACAACCTATTTCCATTGTGGATCCTCACAGTTTTTTAGTGCATCGATTTCAGTCGGGGTTGCCCTCTGATTGAGAAGAACTTTCGGCTGGAAATCCAGCACCTGGTTTTTTGCCAGTCAGCTTGCTGCAGTGGTCCTAACTTGAACCTGAGGTTCAAACATGTGGGTGCGTCTATGGCGAACCCCTTTTGGCTTCGGGAAGCCAAGTCCAGCAAAGAAAAAAGAAAAAAACGTGGGGGCTTCGGCTTGGGACTTTGTGGGGGCAACCCTCTTGGGCCGAGCTCCAACCCCATCTTGGCGCGGGCGGGCGCGCGCTTTTTTTTTCGGCCCGTGGGGTCGCCTTGAGGAGTGCACCAGCTGTGGGTTTCGGAACAAGAGCACCAACGAGGCGAGGGGTCTGACGGACGGGAGGTGGGGGGTTTGGAGTTTTCAGGGGACCCAATACCTTTGGGTTTATCCCGCCCAAGACAACGCTTTTGGGTTTCCCAGGGTCGGATCAATACCTTTGGGTTTGTCTGACTTAACTCATTGTTGTTGGGTTTCCCAGGGTCGCCTTGTGGTCGCCGAAACGGGAATGGATTGGTTTTGAATTGATCATTGCTGGATCCTGCTCGTGACCCAGGGTCTGTTTACTTTTAAAACCACCCAAAACCGGAACCATCAAAGAAAGACGCACCCAAGCAAAGTCCTTTCTAAGCCTTCATGTTCCCGGCAGAAGCAAGGGCGCCGATCTGGATGCGACTTTTGGCAAGCAAGACAAGGAAGGCTGCGCGCTCGCATCGTGTTTTCTTTTTTGCCCCAACCAGGGCCACGGCAAAAAAGTAACAAAAAACAAAAAAATCAAAAACAGAACAAGTTCAGTTAGAGTGTGGACTTGGAACGAGTTGAGAGAGTTGCACAGCTCGGCAAGAAATCGAGGCAATCGGGTTGCCATTGCCAGCACACGTCGAGCCACGGACCGCCAACAGCTTCTCACCTGTCCAGCCGTGCCTGCCTTTCTTGCGGCTCGCTGGACGAACGCCTGTCGGTTTTTGAGGACACCCCTTTTCCTTGGTTTGCCTTAAAGGGAAGGAACACCCTTTGGGGGGGGGTCCGACCTTAAACAAGAGGATTGTGTGGGGCTTTCGAAGCTCGGGACCGGAACTTCCCTTTGCCTCGGCCTTCGCTCCGAATTCGATCGACGGATCTCCCGCGAGATCTGTGGGGGCAATGGCCCCCTGGGCTGCAAAGCCAGCAAGGCGACAGGCGGGGCGAGTCGAGTCGAGCCAGTCGGATTTTTGCGTTTTTCCGGCAGACTGAAAAAAGGTTTCAGGTCCGTGTCAAGCTCGGAAGGCTTTTGGGGTTGAGGACTTTGCACCGATTCCCCCGTTTAAAATTTAGAAAGACAAGGCCGAGAGCTGGCCATTGGCCAAAGGAGGCATAGAACCCAAAAGGAGGTTGCACCAATGCACCAAGCATGGGCTTTTGGGGGTTCAAGGAGGCAGACTGAACAGTTTTCAGGTTCCCTTCGGGGCGCGACATCGACTGGGTTGTTTTGTCCAGATGTGGTGACCCAGGCTGGATGGAGGATTTTTGCACAGATCCGAAATCGGCGAACAGTGAGACCCCCAAGCAATACTCCTCGGTGTGTTTGTCTTTTTGTGCAGCAGCCGGAGCAGTGGGACATACTCATAGTTTTGGTTCGCGAAGCTGATTCCAGGATGGCCCAGATGGCCTGATCATTTGGCAAGTTAAACCTTTGTTTGGTTGTTGCTCTGAGCTTCACTGATTCACAGATTCAGATCTCTGAGGTGCATGATCGCTTGATTGCTGCTTGCCCTTTGGACGTGCTTCCCAAGTCGCCCCATCGCTTTGCTCAATCCGAGCAGCTCCACTTTCGTCGGGGGTCCGCTAAGTAGTCTCCGAAGAAAGGTGCCCCGACCAATCCGGCGGCAGGTTGAAGGGAAAAAGGCCCAATGCGTGAAGCAAAAGCTTGTGTGTTTCTCTCACAAAGGTCTTTCCACTGCTGTTTGATTCCAAGAATTCGCAAGCTACGTTCCTTGGAAATTCTCAACTGCAGATGGTTCTGTTGCACGGATGTTTCAGTGTATCTCTGACGGAAGAATAGCTCACGCATGCAAGTTTACCCCTGCCTGACAGCGCAAGTTGAAAAGCACCTCATGTAGTGACTAGTGACTGCAGTCCCTTGCGGGTTCTTGCCAGAAATCGTCCTGTGGCGGGTTTCCTTTGAGGAGCCACAACTGAATATGAAGGCGGCTTTTGTTGAAACATGATAACTTGGCCTGCAGAAGCAAGTGAGCACGTCCTGCGGCTCACAGGGTGCATCCATCAACATTGACTTAGATGAGTCAGTGCAACAGACAGGTTTCGGAGTGTGAGGAGAAGTCTTCGGGTGATCCACACAAAAAATATTCGTCAAATCTTTTGCACATGGTCCGACTGTTGAGGCTACCCGCTTTTTTGCTTCCTTGTGCTGTTCCCGAAGACCCACGGTGTTGGAGCGGTTTCTGCCCGTTTTGGACCCCCAGGTTCGCCCTTCGCCCCGGCGGGAGCCCTCTCGCGAGGCAGGGCGGCTTCTCCAGCCTTGGACTTCAACAACTTGGCGCGGGCGCCCAGTTTTTCCAGAAGTCCAGACAGGCTTTGCCTGCGGAGTTCATTTTTGTTGTTGCGGCTGTTTTTTGTTTTTTTCTTTTGTCGCGGCTGAAGAAAGATGTCCCTTTGCATGTTTGTTCATCCATTGAATCTGTGCGGTGTTTGCAGCCTTTGTAACGAGACATGCCATATTCTCAACGCTGGCTGGGCCGCTTGAACATGGGCTCCATGTTCTGTGTTGTTGCTTGCTTGATGGGGATGGTTCATTTGCTGCACATTGTGAGCTGTGTAGCATGTCCAACGCCAAACGTGTTCACAGACGGAATTTCCACTGCTTTTAGGAGGTCCATGCGCATCGCAGAAGCATGTGAGCAACCACACTGAAAGGTAGGCCCCTGTACCTTTAAGTGCCACTTTGTTTGAGCACACATTCAAACATGGTTGACGGGCATCAATCCCAGTGTAATTGATGTCCACCAAAGCGCCCCAAGTCAATTTCACGTATGTATGTATGTATGTATGTAATGTATTGTATTGTATTGTATTGTATTGTATTGTGTTGTGTTGTATTGTATTGTGTTGTATGTATGTATGTATGTATGTATGTCGTATGTGATGTGATGTGATGTGATGTGATGTGATGTGATGTGATGTGATGTACTGTAATGTAATGTAATGTATGTATGTATGTATGTATGTAATGTATGTATGTATGTATGTATGTATGTATGTAATGTAATGTAATGTAATGTAGTGTAAAGTAATGTAATGTGATGTGATGTAATGTAATGTAATGTAATGTAATGTAATGTAATGTAATGTAATGTAAGGTAAGGTAAGGTAAGGTAAGGTAAGGTAAGGTAAGGTAATGTAATGTAATGTAATGTAATGTAATGTAGTGTAATGTAATGTAATGTAATGTAATGTAATGTAATGTAATGTAATGTAATGTAATGTAATGGTATGTAATGGTATGTAATGGTATGTAATGGTATGTAATGTAATGTAATGTAACGTAACGTAACGTAACGTAACGTAACGTAACGTAACGTACCGTAACGTAACGTAACGTAACGTAACGTAACGTAAGGTAACGTAAGGTAACGTAAGGTAAGGTAAGGTAAGGTAAGGTAAGGTAATGGAATGGAATGGAATGGAATGTAAGGTAAGGTAAGGTAAGGTAAGGTAAGGTAAGGTAAGGTAAGGTAAGGTAAGGTAAGGTAAGGTAATGTATGTAATGTAATGTAATGTAATGTAATGTAATGTAATGTAATGTAATGTAATGTAATGTAATGTATGTATGTATGTAATGTATGTATGTATGTATGTATGTATGTATGTATGTATGTATGTATGTAATGTATGTATGTATGTATGTATGTATGTATGTATGTATGTATGTATGTATGTATGTATGTATGTATGTATGTATGTATGTATGTATGTATGTATGTATGTGTATGTAATGTATGTATGTATGTATGTATGTATGTATGTATGTATGTATGTATGTATGTATGTAATGTATGTATGTATGTATGTATGTATGTATGTATGTATGTATGTATGTATGTATGTATGTATGTATGTATGTATGTATGTATGTATGTATGTATGTATGTATGTATGTATGTATGTATGTAATGTATGTATGTATGTATGTATGTATGTATGTATGTATGTATGTATGTATGTATGTATGTATGTATGTATGTATGTATGTATGTATGTATGTAATGTATGTATGTATGTATGTATGTATGT